AATGTTGCCGTGCACGGCCTCGGCGCCGTGCCGTTGCAGTCCCCATGCCGTGCTGCGACGGCAGCCGTGTACGGCTCCGGCAGCAAACCGTGTTGTGTGAAAGCTTGCATATAAACCAATGTATTACTAAATTACTATTATACATGGCACTGTTGCCGTGCACGGCCACGGCAAAAAATCGTCTGTGTGAATGCAGGGTTAGAAGCGTTCGAAGTGTGGTGTTACCGCCGAATGATGAGAATACCGTGGATAGAGAATGTTAGAAATAAAGGGGTATTAGAATGAATAGGAGAACAGAGGACTCCATAGAAGTCGATAAAAAATTGACCAGATAGGATGGTAGGACACCTTAGGCGTGAAAGTCTAGTCAAAGAAATATTATAGGTAGAAACAGGAGTTAAGAGAAGTAGAGATAGACCTATATTAGATTACTGTTCGCAAATAGTTCAGGATGTGGTATGTTCTAGTTTTAGGGATTAGAAGATTAGCTCCGGATAGGAAAGAATGGAGGTGCATGTCCAACCAGTCTTAGGACTGACGACCTTATGATGATGATAAGATAAGTTATAGGAAATTACAAACAATTTTTAGAACAATACCCTAATATAGTTTCAGAAGTCATATTCACCACTCATACATAATAGTTCTCGAACATTCCAGAATGTTCTCAACTCTTCCAGTCCAATTCGTTTTAGTAAATTCTAGCTGTGGCGGATGTTATTATTTAGAAACTTGTCAAAATAATGAAAATGCTTTAATATAGTGTCAAAAGACAACCTCGCCAGTTACACTTGGCCTCTAACATTCTAGAATGATCTCGATTCTTCTGGTTTACTCTAGAACATTCTGTTTAAGGACAATCCTAGATATCGAGAATATTCTAGTTGAGAATAACATTAGAAACATTCAAGAACATATTTTAGGGCATTTCCACTTATGCTAAACTGGTGTTTGGTAACTGGTAGATGACCCGGAAAACCACACACCCACAAAAACTGGAGAAAATTTGATTATTGTAGGAGATTCCAAATCTGTTAGGTATTCTCGCAGATGTCTTTAACCCTATTGCTCTTTTAATGCTCATTTAACACCCGCACGCATTTGAAAAAGTTAAGCAACAAACGTGTGTTCTAACTATTCCTTTCTCAGGACTGTCCCACTTTCAAACCCCTCCTCTCAATAATGTGGGAGAGCGGGACGGCATCTCTTAACTTAAAAGTTAATTATCTTTAAACCTATTTAATTTCTCAATAAGAGTGTATAGTTATTTATAAAGTTTATATAAAAAAAAAATATTTCATTAATAAATGATAAAAGACAAGATGTTTAATTTTTAGAAATGGTTTATAGAACTTACGCCCAGAATACCAAGAACTAAAATAAATAGTATAATCGTCTATTCTCTAACAAAAGCATAAAAAATTACACAAAGCCCCCCAGTAGATATTTGTTAAAAAAAAATAAGTAACATATACAACCAATGAAGCATATATTTTGGGGAATTAATTTCAGTATAATAAGTTGTACAAATGAAGAAGTCGCGAGGAACCTTGATTTTTATTTATTTATTTTTTTAACCAATGTTCCACCTACAATATTCAAGCTTTGTGTAATTTTTTATGTTACTCTTGAAGAATAGACGATTGTACAAATTTTTTTAACTAAAATAAACCGCCCTTAAAATTGAACCATTTATCAATGAAATAAGAATCTGAAAAAAAAAATATAATATATATATAAACCTTGTAAATATCTATGCACCGTTAAAATCTGAAATAGTTTTGAGGGTAGTGATTTGAAATTTGGTGTAAAAATGTTTCTATCACAGAACAATAATTTGCGAGGTAAGAACATAGAAAGGACGGTGGAACACTTTTCCTACAACTAACCGGATACTAGATCCTTTGAACGGATGGCTACCGTTATCGATTGTGCACTTCTGTGCATTCTAATCATTCCTTTAAAAAACAAAAACCTTGGGAAATAGTAAATCCTTGCCAGCGTACAAGAGGCGATAATAATAAATAAATAAAAAATATCGATAGAATAAAATTTGCTCGGTACAACTGCATTCCAAAGGGGACTGGGGGTCTTTGCTTTGCTTATTTTTGATAATAGAGGGGCGAGGAGGTTGGAATGGTGATTACGTCAGTAATATTTACAGTGGATTTGGGGTATAACGACGACGAAGGGACCACTGTAATTTCGTCGTTATATCCGGAAGTCGTTACAGTAAAGGTATAGAGATACAGACACGTATATATAGTTTTCACCATTTTTCAATTTTCAAACAATCTCCGCCTTTTTTAACAGTAAATGTGCATCTGGGAGTCATACTTATTCAAAAGTTACCTAAACACAGTTGCTACTCAAAATATCATTTGTAACTGAACTATTTTAACGTATAACATCTATAAACAAACGATAAAGGTCACCGTACTTGCTGACCATCTGTGTGGATGTAAACAAAAGATAAGAAAGCTCTGCGTTTTTTGTGGCCGACTCCGGTCGCTTTATCTACATGGGATTATTAGGGATTTGTTACAAATGATTCATTTAAAACACAGTTACCACACCCAAACTCGGCGTTATATCCGAAGTCGCTATAACCACAAGAATTTTGTACTAAATTATCTTTTAAATTCAAGGGATTTAACGTCGCTATAGCAAAACGATCACTACAACCAAGGTCGTAATAAATGAAATCTACTGTATTTACTTTTTCTGACTTTTGAAAAATTTAGTACATTCTAATTTGCACAAATATGACAAAAAATAAATTAATATGTTCATCATCATCATAAGGTCGTCAGGCCTACGACTGGTTGGACACGCACCTCCACTTTTTCTTCGCATTTCTCTAAAACTAGAACAACCTACATCCTTAACTATTTGCGAACAGTAATCTAATTTAGGTCTACCTCTACCCCTCCTAACATCCGTTGCAGCTTCTAATATGTCTCTAACTAGACCTTCATGCCTGAGAAGATATCCTACCAACCTATCTCGCCTATTTCTTATCGACTTCCATAAAGTCCTCTTTTCTCCTATTATTTCGAATACCTTTCGTTTATATGTTAGGAATGTAATATTTAATTACGATGTTAATAATTAAATTGCTTGAATATATATTAAATGGGCATTAAATTCCTTTATAATCTGTAAATTCCTATTTCTGGACTCACTAACATCAATAAAGAATCCTAAAGGATTTTAAAAATATATACACTAATCAATGATTGCATGAGTATCGTGGTGGGGTGCTCACTTTTGCTGTCAAGGGGAGAGGGGGGGTTCAAAAATTACTAAAATTCTGCTTACGTAGTATTTGAATGACCCGTAAGCGTATATTTTAGATGATAGTCGATAAGAATAAAGTTTGAGTGAAATTTTTGCAATAGCTGATGGGAAACTAATAAAAACTTTGCCCATTTTCGACAAACTTACAGTCGTTTTTCGCTCGAGTTATCGTAGTTACGTTTTACCCTTATAACTCTTAAATGTTTTCATCCAAACTCTAAGAACGATGTTCCTTGGCTTTCGAACAAATTGTTTCATGATCAATTACCTCAAGAGATGGAAAATATCCGAGGATCGAGGTGTTTTTTCTTGTTTGTAGTTACTTTACCGATTTGTGGTTCCTAAAGGCGAAATAAGCCATAAAGCTCAAAGTGTGGATGCAAAATTTATTAGTAATGGTAACGGAAAGATGTTTGCGCAAAAAGAACTACTCATCGTTGTTGCAGTTGAAGACTTGTGGGGTTACCAACTTTATCGTTTTAATTTGGAAACCCTAGAATCAAGTTTTCTCCGAACTCCAGTTCATAGAAAATAATCTCCGGATTTTTCAATTTTTATGAAAAACAAAATTTTATTGTTCTATTATTGGCAATGTTCTTATTGAATGTCACACATAATGCAGTTACTAAACTAATTATCTACCTTTAGCATACAGTGAGCTATTAATTAATTTACTAGTTGATTATTTCTTAAATGTTCAAAACGAGTAAGTTTTTTTGTACATTTATCTATATATTTATTAAATGGATGTCTCCAAACTTATTCGAACGATCTCCAGACTTTCTAAAATTTTGAGTTGGTAACCCTAAAGACTTACCTATTTTGGTTGATGTTAATTAACAAGGCCATGTAAAAAAAAAGAATCTTTCATGGAGAAAAGACACACCCATATACTTATTGTGTTCGAAGAAACGTGTGAAACAATGTTTATGTTTACAGCGGATTATTATTTCACGCAGAGCATTATATTTACGTATTAATGGATTTGCCGATAAAACTAGAGAATAATAGTTTTATTGCTATACTTACTACATAATTCGCATCCTGGTCAAAGGTCAATATACAAATATGCCCATGAGTTTTTATCTATTTTATATGTTAATAACGTACTTTGGTTGAAAAAAAAAAGGAAAGAGGAAGAAATGCAAAAAGTGCGGTTATGAATACTAATTGAACGCAACTTCCTTTCATTAAGTGAATTGTAAATGATAATGATTTGTTGAATGAATTTTTTGCTTAAATCATTATTATTTACCTAATCGTAAGTTAACTTTAATTCATCGAAAACAATTCAGTACACTCTCACTTTACTCGTACGTGGAATAATCAAGTTAATTTTACACTGCAAGACTATTCTTTCAAAACTTGAGTCGGATTCAGTTGTAATAATGAACAGCGTACCTTATCACAACCGTTAGATGGAACGTTTACCTACATCGACATGGAATCAAAAAACCAGTCATATGCGAGTTGGTTAAACTTTGGTTAATGCATTTCTTGTGAATCATTTTAATTAAAAAGACAAAATATAAAACACCAGAAAAAGTTTCTTTTTACTTACTGCTTCACATTTCCAATGTTTTACATTTATATTGAATTGTGTATCCCGCTATACCATAGAACTGCTGTTTTTACTTTTATTCTATATTTTTCGTTTTATAAATAATTAGTTAAATAAAAAGCGTTTCTTTTTTTTCTAGGAACACACAACGTTAATTGGAACGGACGAAAATATTGGTCCAGTCCTACTATCCATTAAAACAGAAAATGTAGCAAACCAAGAGCATACACGTATTCTGCTTCGTTTGAAGACGGGCACTATGCACGAAATCGTTCCTTCCTCGTGTCTAGATCCCAATCCAAGCCCATCAAAAATGGCCAAACTTCTCAACGAGCAGTTGAACATCGACAATTTTACACCTGTGCTCTATCCGAAGGCGTCACAATTAATCGCAAATTACGACGAACACGTTCTTGTCTCGAATTTCAAATTTGGCGTACTATACCAGAAACGTGGCCAAACAACCGAAGAAGAATTATTTTGCAATAACGTCCCTACTCCTGCTTTCGATGAATTCTTATCTTTACTTGGACGGAGGATACAATTAAAAGACCATAAAGGCTATCGTGGTGGTCTCGATATTCAGAACGGCTACACGGGCGACGAAGCCGTCTACGAAATCTTTAAGGAAAGAGAGATCATGTTTCATGTGTCCACATTGTTGCCGTACACAGAAAGCGATCCTCAACAGTTGCAGAGGAAACGGCACATCGGAAACGACATAGTGGCCATCGTTTTTCAAGAAGAAAACACCCCCTTCTCTCCGGATATGATTGCGTCACATTTCTTGCATGCTTTCATAGTTGTCCAGCCTGTTGATCCTAATACTCCAAATGCCAGGTAAGCCTTAGAATAAAGCTCTTTTACCAAAATGTGAAAAATAAAAACCTGCGTGGTGTCTTGGGACACCCGGTAGGAACGAAGTTTCTTACGTTCTTTGACTAATAATTATAAATTTCGGTCAAAGTATTCTGTATAAAGAACTAACAATCATCACGTGAACGGTTAAAGCGGCAGAAATGAAAAGGTTAGAAGCGTTTGAAGTGTGGTATTACAGGTGATAAGGATGTCGTAGATAGAGTTAGAAATGAAGAGAAGGAGAATAGAGGGCACTAGGGAATTCGATAAAAAATGGGCGAGATAGGTTGGTAGGACACCTTCTCAGGCATAAAGGCCTAGTTAGAGATATATTAGAAGCAGGTGCTAAGAGGAGTAGAGATAGACTTAGATTAGACTACTGTTTACAAATAGTTAAGGAAGTGGGATGTTGTAGTTTTAAGGAAATACGAAGATTAGCTCCGAGTAAGAATGAGTAGAGGTATGTTCAACCAGTCTTAGGACTGGCGACATTATGATGGTGATGATGATGAGATATCAAACATATGCATTCCGTAAATTACTTCGAAATAGTAAGACTGTCAGTTGCTACCATCGACGTATACTGATGGACGTGCCTTAGCGGTCAGAACGCTAAAAGAAAGAGATGAAACGAAGTTTCGGACAATACCAATCTCTCTCACGATAGTGCCGTTGTTAAGACGCCCTGCGCCGAAATCCATACGCCATCTCTCTCACTCTTTTCGAACCAAAAAATTATTACAACGACATACGGCTAAGGCACATCCATTAGTATATGTCGATGGTTGCTACTAACAGGTTAGGTTCCGAAGCTTTTTAAAATGACTGCTGCTGTATATATTTACCAAATGGCAGCCTAATCGAATCTGCTTGGTCAGCTCTCTTTCTGCAAGCAGTAACCAAGAACGAGAGTGATGTCCACTAACGTATTCAATTATTGGTCATCATTGCTAAACCTAGATGAATGTCCCTAGAACTTAGAATTTAGAGCCGGCTTAAAAAAAGTGAAGTTTTATTTAATTTATAATATAAGTTAATTTTTGTACCAAATGAATTCTTGTTGTTTAAAGGTTATTTGCAATTTTAAAATTTCTTTAAACACTTGTGAATAACTAAAGAAAATAGTGTTCCTTTTTTGCGCCAAATAAATTCTTTTTGTTTAAACATCCTTTTTTCATTATAATAGAGATCCAACAAATACACGCAGAGGAATAAATCCTTCTTTAAGTTGAAAACGGATAGCTAAAAGAGCTCAAATATAAAATCTTGCAGAGTGTGATCCATATATTTGGTGGTTTCGATAAATTGCTGACCTAACCAAGAATTTCATATTCAATTCAAAAGAAATTTTTATAAACATAGTGTAACGAATTTTCTAATGACTATTTATTTAAATGGGTCTTTTTTTTTTTCAAAATTCACTTTAAATGTTCTATTTAATTTTTGTTCCTATTCGCCGTCAAACAAAAATGTTTACGAATTGAAACGAGCGCATATCAGGGCAAAAACGATAAGTTTCTTAGCAATTTCAATTCCACCTCGCTCTTCAAGCTCTTGCGTCAACCCGACCACTTTTAAATCGATTACCTAATTTTTTGCCATGTTTACTAGAAAGTTTTCTTCTTACAAGTTATCCTCAACCCCACACCTGACGCCAGTTGTAACGAGTTTTTTAATACTTAACTATGTATTCATAACTAGTGATCGCCCAGTGGTTGAAATTCGACCGCAAAAGGAGTACAAATTTTTTTCTTCACATCTTAATAGGTCTTATGGATCTGTATTTTTATATCATCGTGTATTACCTAGCATTTGCACGGATTATGTTACGTATTTATGTATACAACTGCTACTCTTCAATTATTCTCCTTCATATTGTATCTGTCATATATTAGTACCAATTTTCCCTGTCTTGTCGAGGATTTTCTCAAACTACTGGTGTGTACTCGCACGTATGATTTACTACTTCTTAACAGACTTAAAAGGAAACGGCCTATTGATCTTCTTTTTACACGTATACACATGATCGTAACAGTAAATTAAAAGTTTAATGTAAAACATTGAAGAAGTTGCAATGTAAGCGAAACAAATGCAAGTTTATGAAAGTACCAAATCGGTATTTTATTAATATTCGAGATAAATTTCCATGTTGTAAGTCCTCTACAAAAGTCTTAAGAAGATTGCAAAGGTCTGGAATCTAGACTCTAGATGATCGCAATTTAGGGAAAAAGCTATTTTCAATGGATCGGGAGTGTTCGAAACACAAAGTTTGCCACTACTCTCAAAATTTGTGGTAAAAATGTCCATGAATCGTACTGTGAATTAGTACTGTTAATCGTGATTGTTTTTTATTATAATGTTAAAAAACGTTGAATAAATTAATAAATGAAAAGTGAAATCTGCAAAATTTTCACCTGGTTCAAAAAGAAATAATAGGTTAGTCAGTAAAGTAAAAGTCTGTTAATTACCATCAATAAAATATTGAACTGTATTTTCATTGCTTTCCAATTAAACCTAACNATTGATCCCAAAACTGCCGCCCACAAACCATAGGCTCTCATTTTATTGTACTCTTCTGACCATTTATCGAAAAATGTTTGCGAAAAACTTAAAATATCGGCAGTTGCAGAAATGTCCCCTATATGTCCATAATACTTTAAGTAATTCTCCTGTAAAAATAAAATGCATTTCCTGGGATTCGGTGCGAATGTCGTGATTAGGGACTCTAAGTCAACATCTAAACGCCACGATCCATCACCTCTATCGATTCGTTTTGGATAATATATTAATTAATAATTAATAATATTATTAATGCTTCATAAGTAAAAACGGTATTCACTATTTCAACAATTAAAACTTTCTGAAACCTTCTGGAAACATCCGAATAGCTTATTTTTTCTTTGAACACACATTTACAAATACGGCGCACATGAGGAAAGGCACCTGCAGCTAGTCGGCGAATCGATAAGCCGTTCACGCACACGTGTGCCCTATCGCACACAAACACACTCGTGCTCGCTACAGTAACAAAGATCAGCACAAAGCGAAGGGCTAAAAATAATCGCCAGGTATTAGTCTCAGTTTATCAGAATAATCTGACAATTGATACTAATAAATAATTATTTAATTAATTATTGTAACTATTACCAGTCTAATAAGACTATTTTTTTTTTTTTGTGTGTGTCTATATTTACAATTAATAATTGTGAAATTCATTAAATACCATACACAGTTTCACGTCTGACGTCGTTAGATTTGACTGACGCATAATTCTTACTAGTATTAGTTTTTTTTTTTGAAAAGCCTAAAATTGACAGCAATGGTTGAATGTTCATTTCTTCCTCTACAAATTAGATAAGGTATCATGGAATAAAAATATAGTTACTTATTGTATTGGAATCTAAAAGATCTCCCATTAAACAACACAAGAATAAGAAATAGAAAACTTTATGTATGTTTACAACAGATTAGATTACAGCAGACAGCAACAAGTTTGGCAAAATAATTACCCATGAAAATTTTGAACACTACTTACAACTATTTTATGATTTCACTTGTTAAACATTTGTTAAAAATCTACAGCAAGTAGATAAATACAGCGGTGACTTAGAAAAATTTATTAAAAATAAAAATATCTATAATTGATATATAATTTTAAACACCTATTATTTCAAAAAAACGTTTGAAACTTGTATGGATTGTGTTACACAAGAAAATGAAAATGGAGTGAATTTGAAAAAGGAGAAACTAACAAGGAAACCTTTCGAGGTGTTAATCTACATCAAAAATGATGAGATACATATTTTTTGCAGAAAAACGTTTTTAAGACGTAAACCGCTGTCGGTTTTTTTTAATGTCTGATGTTCTCAAAAAAGATCAAGCAAACTAAATTANATGTATTCATAACTAGTGATCGCCCAGTGGTTGAAATTCGACCGCAAAAGGAGTACAAATTTTTTTCTTCACATCTTAATAGGTCTTATGGATCTGTATTTTTATATCATCGTGTATTACCTAGCATTTGCACGGATTATGTTACGTATTTATGTATACAACTGCTACTCTTCAATTATTCTCCTTCATATTGTATCTGTCATATATTAGTACCAATTTTCCCTGTCTTGTCGAGGATTTTCTCAAACTACTGGTGTGTACTCGCACGTATGATTTACTACTTCTTAACAGACTTAAAAGGAAACGGCCTATTGATCTTCTTTTTACACGTATACACATGATCGTAACAGTAAATTAAAAGTTTAATGTAAAACATTGAAGAAGTTGCAATGTAAGCGAAACAAATGCAAGTTTATGAAAGTACCAAATCGGTATTTTATTAATATTCGAGATAAATTTCCATGTTGTAAGTCCTCTACAAAAGTCTTAAGAAGATTGCAAAGGTCTGGAATCTAGACTCTAGATGATCGCAATTTAGGGAAAAAGCTATTTTCAATGGATCGGGAGTGTTCGAAACACAAAGTTTGCCACTACTCTCAAAATTTGTGGTAAAAATGTCCATGAATCGTACTGTGAATTAGTACTGTTAATCGTGATTGTTTTTTATTATAATGTTAAAAAACGTTGAATAAATTAATAAATGAAAAGTGAAATCTGCAAAATTTTCACCTGGTTCAAAAAGAAATAATAGGTTAGTCAGTAAAGTAAAAGTCTGTTAATTACCATCAATAAAATATTGAACTGTATTTTCATTGCTTTCCAATTAAACCTAACTGTTTTGTGTACGTAAAAAATATATTTGTAAATTTTAGAAAAATAAACTAGAAGTTTGGATGAAAGCAATAGGTATCAAAAAAGTAAATTCTGGAATGAACATTTGCTAACGTCATGTTGGTGTAATGAAAAAAATTTAATATTTGATTTATTAATTGGGTCTCCAAAAAAAAAAGGTTAGATCATTTCAAATGGTTCATGTAAAGTATTCGTCTATGGAAGAAGTTGTACTAGTTCAGTAAAGAGTTATTTATTTTTTTATTAATGCAAATTAATTCATTGATGAAGTACCTCGTCAGCTTCCACAGCCGTTATCAGATGAGTTTCTGAACTTCGCAAAGCCACCTCGAGTCCTTTCTAATTTCAGTTGTAGTACATAGTATATATAGACATTCAAGGACAAAAGATTAGCATGCTTAGATTTGTGAATTATATGGATAGCAGTATTAGCATCAAGCAAGAAGATATAACTAGCTGTAAATAAAATGGAAACGCTTTTGGCACAGGATTTTGGTATAAAAATAATTAAAATAAAATCAAAACACTGGTAAAGGACGGATATAAAAGTAGGGTTAAAATTAATATAAAAATAGATGACGATTTACTAGAAGAAGTCTCCAATTTTCAATACTTACCAAATATATGTAACTATATATATAACTCAATATGACAAAAGCGCTGGAGATTTACAACAAAGAAGAAATTTCTTTTCGTGATCGGTTAATTTAGAAATTCCAAAGATTATTAATAAAAATTGTGTTTGGAGCATGACTCTGCGTGAGTGTGAAAAGAAGCATATAAGATGTTGCATTATAGAAGAATATTAAAAGAAAAGGTTAGAAATGAAGAGGTACTCGAAAAAGTAGGAGACCAGAGGGCGCTATGAAAAATAGAAAATAGGTGAGATAGGTTAGCAGTAGACATTGCAATTGCTGGATTTCTCATCCAGCAGTCTACCTAGATCTCGTGCAGTTTTTTGCTCGCTATTTTCAGAGCAAGATAGTGTACCAAGCGGTATGGTTATCCTAATATTAAGTCGAATCATTACAATGATCCTGAAAATAGAAAAATTGTCTATTCCGATTATTAATATACCCGGAGTGCTTCTAGACAAAGTCAGTGAAATAACTAATCGTAAGTGTTAATCTGAGGAGAGCAGCCGCACCGTTTCAACATTGAGTAAACATTTTATTTGTTTCTTAAAATAATTTGTTTTAAACGAACTCAGGCGTATGTCCTAATAATAAACACGTCAAAGATCGTGCACTCCTAAATTCTGTATTTTTAAATCAAATAATTTGCTGATCGAGATGTACATACATATATTATATCTGATAAGTACACTACCTACAAAATTTTATGGTTATCAATTAATTGTTATCTCTATTCTAGGTACAAAGTGAGCGTGACGGCTCGTGACGATGTACCATTTTTTGGTCCAACGCTACCAACACCTGCCGTTTTCCGTCACGGACCAGAATTTAAGGAATTTCTATTAACAAAGTTAATCAACGCTGAAAACGCCTGCTATAAAGCCGAAAAATTTGCAAAACTTGAGTTACGTACACGTACATCACTTTTACACGCTCTTACGGAAGAATTACGAGAAAAAACGAACGAATTCTTAGGAGCAGGAATTGGAACAAACACAATTGTGCCTCCCGGTACGCCAAAAAGTGACTCAGGACCCGGATCAAGATTTATTGATACCGTCAAAAAGGCTTGGAGTGCTAGAGTGAAATCTAGCCAAAGTGTCGATACGAATTTGTCGTCGAATGGTCACAATCAACATGAAAAGCTTACGAAGAAAACCAGTCAACCCGCTGTTGTTTCTGAATCAACGCCTTCAGTAAGTATTACATGATTCTGCAATTTTCGTCTGTAATAGTTACGCGAGTAAGGGAAATTAATAATATATGAAGCATTTACAATACATACTTTGATATATAATTTTAAACACCTATTATTTCAAAAAAACGTTTGAAACTTGTATGGATTGTGTTACACAAGAAAATGAAAATGGAGTGAATTTGAAAAAGGAGAAACTAACAAGGAAACCTTTCGAGGTGTTAATCTACATCAAAAATGATGAGATACATATTTTTTGCAGAAAAACGTTTTTAAGACGTAAACCGCTGTCGGTTTTTTTTAATGTCTGATGTTCTCAAAAAAGATCAAGCAAACTAAATTATACATGAAAAACGACATGTGTTTGCAATCTCACATTTACAAAACCAAAAAGTATATCTTTTCCAAGGGTTGAAAATGATCTAATCTATCCAAAAAATTGAATATTTTAGTTTTATAGTTTCTTAAATATGCAATTTACATGCAAGATTTGTTAAATTTGATCTTTCTAAATAAAAATTATAATTGTTACTCAATTGTTATGTACAACTATTTGTATATACAACTTCTATAAGTTAATTATTTTCAGAGTGGAAGATCTCTTTCAAAGAGTTCCATTGTCTCGAATGGCAAAAGCAATAAAAGCAGTTGCAGCAGCAGCAGTAATGGGGGCGGCGGTGCTTCATCGACGGCATCGTCTTCTCCAGACTTAACGGCACATGCACATTCTCATTGCTCCCGTCCCGCCCTATCTGAAGCGAGTGACGACTCGTCATTGACGAGCGAAGACTTGGAGCACTTGGGTGGTGGTGGTGGATACGTGGACAGTGATACCGGCCTAGAAAGCATGTCGAGTGCGGAAACTGCTGCAAAGGCATGCAGCCTATGTCAGGAAAGGCCTACAGTTGTAGGTGGTAGTGGAGGAGGATTTCTAGGAAATAATGTCGTTAACCAAGAAGCCTTAGTACAAGAAGTAACCAGGCTAAAATGCGACAAACTGGATCTCTTAAAACAGAATGTGGTAAGTGTCGAAGTGTCGTAATATGCTGCAATCGGCCTATATTTGCAAATTAATTAAATACACATTTATTTAAGGTATTTAACTTCACCATAATAATAAATAAAAAATGGTCTTCCGAAATTACTAGTAGCTATTCCACTTTCACATTTGAATCCTGTATGATAAATATAAAACAGTTTACCTTTCTTGTTCACTACATATATTAAATGAAATGAAACTTGGTTAATTTTTTAAAATACGATTGCAAAACTACTTTTCAAATTGAACAGTATACCTACTATTTTCTAATATCCTGTTCTGTTTCAGACCTGTCAAAAAGATATAAAGAGGCTAAGAGAGAAAGAGTTGAGTCTACAAACAGACTTAGCAGCAGCGACAAAGGAAATAATACGGTTACGGGATCTTCTTAAAAATTTCAATACTACCGATGATTCGTCACCAGTATAATTGCCTTTACCATTTTTTTTGTGTATTTTGCGCAAATTTCAAAAATTCCGTATGCTGCATTTATTTTTTTGTGTTAGATTTTTCTGTTTCAATATTATTTACACAGTACAAATAAGCGACGATGTAATGATGCTTAAAAATGCTATATTTTCGATTATTCATATAAAAGCGGTCCTGTTCAGTTGTGTATTTTATTGTGTTCATTGCGCGCGTTGCTATGAAAACAGGCGACCTTAAAATATTTAGTGAAATTTGTCAATTATCGACGTTATTAAAAAAGCACACCAAGAGACGTCGTTCAAACAGCTCGTCTTTCTTTCTTTACGTTTGTGATATTCCTTTGTATTTTTTCTCTTTATTAGCTATTAACGGTAGATAAATAGTAATTTATTTCAAGCATAATTATATTTAAGAAATATTTTCTATCAGTTATTATTTACTATATGAATGTTTATTATATAATTTAGTTTGTCCACTAGGAAGAAACTTTACCAACAAAATGATACCAAAGTTAACATTCCCCAAATTTCACCAGATTAGTTGTTAGGTCACATATTGTAAATAACAAAGAGAATATTTGTGG